CCCCTGTGGGTCAGCGCACCGGTGGCAGATGAGCTCCTTACTCAACTTTACAAAGTTTAGACGCACCTGACGTGAAGTCCCCTGTGGGTCATCGCCTTGGACGCTACGTTCCCTCCCAAGCTTTACAAAATTTTAGCCATCTTCCAACGCGTCGGTCCTGTGGGTCAGCGCACCGGTGGCAGATGAACTCCTCACTCAACTTTACGAAGTTTAGATGCACCTGACGCGAAGTTCCCTGTGGGTCATCACCTCGGAAGCTGCGTTCCCTCCTAAGCTTTACAAAGTTTTAGCTATCTCCCAACGCGTCGTCCCAAGCGGGTCAACGCACCGGTGGCAGATGAATTCCTCACTCAACTTCGCATAGCCTACACGCGCCTAACGCGAGTCCCCTTTGGGTCATCGCCTCGGTCATCGCGTTAACCTCTTTTCCTACTGATCATCCTGTCTTGCAGCGCTTCGACCTCACATTGGTTATTGTTTCCCTTACGCAGTAACTAAATTTTGGCGCATCTGCCTAAGATCATGGCTTCGATTACTGCAAAAGATCGACCCCCAAGCTCCCACGAGTCGCGGTCCCTAGTACCGAGACATACACATCCGGTTAGGAAAGCAAGTCCGCCCATGATATAAATATTCATACCTGGACTTGGGAGGACCACTGTTACGCCCATATTATCTGAACCACCTCGGAACGCCCACCACCACACATTCCGACCTGATAGACACCCGTCCGAAGTGTTTTTGAAATAATATCACCAATGTCAACAACCTAGTAGCACACTACGAGGTATAGGCGATTCTACTGAACTGACCGGAGCTCCTTGCCTCCGAGGCCGAGGCCAAGCGGATCCCTGTCAGAAGATCCGCCGCCAATTCCAGAAAGAGATTTGTGTCAAGATCCTCTCTGCACCTAAGGTTTAAATTGCTTTGACGTCTCCATGATGTTAGTTGATGTGACTTATCAACTTTATGTCAATTCAACTCAGGAGAAACAAGCTGTCCGCCTACTCTACAAACGCGGCTGATTGACACTTATGAACGGACGCCTCATACCGTTAGATGTATACACGTGTCCCACATCCAACGGTTCATCCTCTCTATAAATCCCCAAGGTTTGGTAAGAGGCAAAGGTAATGAAACTCTTACTACATAGCATTCCATAACAAGTTTATATATTTTCTCCTTCCCCTTATTATTATTTTGCACAATCCCTAGGTACTGATCCGACTACCTAAACCTGACTTAACCGTCGGAGTGTATACGGCTGCCACCACCCCTGCTGGTCGCGGTCGTGTGCGTCTGATCGTGCGTTGATTGTTCGTAGGGAGAAATACGTGGAGTAACTATCGATTGGCCACGTGGAAGGTCCAATTTTCGAGGTCAACAGCTAGCACTATTCGCTTAACAAGTAATCATGGTTATCATGCAAGGACGAAACATATACATGTCTAATATCACTTTATCAAATTGACTTTGAAGGATGAAATCTTGATACTTGAGAATATTTAAAGGAAGTCAAAGTTTGATTGACTTGTTACTGAAGATTGTTTCGTGTTGCGTGCAATTTCATTTGGACTTCTTTTTGAGGATTGAGGATTTGTTGCGTTGTAGAGGGGCCATTTAAGCAAATCCCCATAAAAATCTTGCATATTCTCGTGTGTGTGTTTATTATCTATCAGTGAATTGATTATTAAAATTCATTTATTAGGGACCTTGACTGCAATTTTCTTGTAAAGATTTTCTATAATCTTCTTCCCCAAAAGCCCTCTACAAAATTTTATAAACCTACGACTACACTCAAGAAGCGGTACCGTTGGACCTGCCAAAATCCTGTGCAATCTTTGTGGAAATGTGAGTCATGTATTCATTTCTAGAGCTGTTTATACTTGCACACAAATATATATGCTTCTTTAAGCTTAATCATGAGATCAATCAACAAATGTAACCATCTTTGATCTTTCACTTGCTCCCTCGTTTCAACGCGAATCCGCCCACGTTGCCAAATTAATCATGTTTATTACGGCGTCAGTTCTGGATGGAAACGATGGATTGAGTACTATGTATGTATGATTTGTCATTGTAAATTTGAGTTAAATCTTAAAATTCGAGTATTCACTGCCGCGGCAGTACACTGATGTTTTTAGCTTAAGTCTGACCTCCCTCCCAGCTGCGACAAGATCTCCACGCACTTGTCTGATCTGTGCGTATATTATTAATGGTCTGATTTTGAAAACATACCTGTAATTTTTGCCCTAATCAAAGAAATGATAGGAGGTATTTGTAGCGTGGAATTGGAGACTTGAAGTGTAATTCGTGAAATATTATGTCAAAATTAATTGAATCATTTCTAAATTCAATATGAAGCAACGTTTTGACGCTATTGAACACAATTCAAGGCTTTGTTTGATCTTGAATTTCATAGAAGAATGCCTTTACTGTGTTTGGATTCTAATGATAATTTTGACATAAAAATGTGTCACAAATGAGATACAGGGGGAGATATGTTCCGTATACACGTTTTTCCCTCACGATATGCACGCCAATCCTAAGTCTAATGTATTTTAGAGCTTGTTGGTTCAACTTTTATTTGGGTAGGTCGAAAACGAAAAAGCATGGTAAATCAATATTTACGCGTTTGCCTTTTCCCTTCCCTCGCCAATAAGATTTCCTGCGTCCGAATGGAGCTCAATGTAAAGAGTCTTGGGGTTTATTTTGTTATTTAATACCCTAACCACAATTTAAATCTTCCTTCCGTAGATTAATTCGTCTCGTGGTGCTTTCATACTTAGCGTATGTTTTGCAAGTAAACATAAATAGTTTATAAACGATCAAAAAGGGTCAAACCAATTTTTATAAATACATTCCACGGGATCCACAAGTATTACCTACTTATTTACTGCTCATGTATCTACCATTTATAAACACCTACCAAACAAGCTCAATAAAATGCCAACCATCCCTTGTCATTACTGTACTGATAGGCAATCTGGCAAAACAGTGCAAACTGTTTTTCACTGCAATAATGAGATTCTTGTTTTGACAGTGAAATATGGGATTCGGAAACAGAGGAGTAATTGGTGATAAATGGTCATCGAGGATACTTTGGCTCGCTGCTATTGGAAGTGCAATTGGTATGTAACCCAGCTATAATTTGATTGACAGCAGCATATTTACTGAAACTCGTGTGTATAATGGTTTCATTAATGTTATTGAAACCACATTTGAGTTGTGATCGATAATTTTTGTTCCATTCCTAAAAGGATGTCTGATGTCTAGGCCTGCTTTATGTTCCATGAATTTTTGTCTACCAATAGGTTGGATTATTCATGTGGTGAATCCATGTTAAATTTTTTATTGTGATAACCAATTCATATTAATTTTTTTTTATTGTGATTACCTATTAGAAATCCAGAAAACTGTGTATATACTTCTGCATGATCGAGGAAGACATTCAGTAAATCATTGCTTTTGTAATACTTTTATGTGCAATAGTCTGGAATTATAACAGGGTGTGAGTATCTCTCAATTTCTAGCTGGAAGATGTAGAATTGCTTCGCTGACGTGGTTCTTATTTCTTATCTTTCTTCCACTCGCCCCCAATCAGAAGTCGCATTTGATTATTGATGATAAGATTTGACATAATTTATTACAGCTTCTGCCTTCATTCTCTTTTTATCGTTTGCTTTTTTAGGGTTTTATATGGTGGCTGTAGAAAGACAAACGCAGAACAGAGAAAAAATGATGGCTGAATCAATGAGGACCGCAGGGTCAAGTGCAGATGATGGTGAATAAATCTGAATGCAGACTTAACTAAATGTATTCAATTTCCTAACCGTATTGACTGTTTAATGCTTCCTATATCAGTCGTGGATGTTTTTATTAGCTTTATTTCTTCTATGATGATATATGTACGTGGATTTGGTCTATTTTCCAGTTTCTTCTCACCATGCAATATTCGTGAGTATGCAAGTCCCACAGGAATGTGACAGTCTAAAGTGCATTTCCCGCAAACTCTTCTGGAATTATGATTTACTCTTCTTAACCGACAATGTTTTGTTTTCCTTAAAGCATGCATTTGTAAAAAAAGTAATGGCTTCGGCAAATTTGTGCAGTTGAAATTCATCATTCTTGTATGTTTTTTGTGTTTTCTCCTCATAATGTCTTGATGGACTAAAAATGCCAAGAAACCATATCACGTACCCTCCTCCCAGTTGGAATTTTTCAATATCACATCCAGTTCTGGTGGCTATGTTGAAAGTATTCAGAGGGACTCTGGGAGAGAACTTGGTTTTTATGACGTGGGCCTGGAAAGTTTTTGCTGTGAAGATTGTGGTCTCGGTTTAGGGCCAGGAAAATTGCTTTAGGCCGTGGAACAATTCCCTGTTTTTTCAAATGAGATATACAGTACCTGAATGATACCTATAAAATCTTTCAATTTAATTAATTACATTAGAAACCTTCACGTTTTCTTTTTGCATTCAAGAAGAAGCTCAGTGAGCAGTCGTCACCTTCTTTTTAGTGTACTACCTTAAGATGTTACCTTCTTGTTCAGGCTTCCTTGATTGCTATGCTACCAATTCTTCATGCAAGTTTCATAATCTTGGATTTCGGATTTGAAACGTGGAATTTTTCATAATCTGGCTACTATGAGTAGTTGTCAGGTTTGAATTGTGTTTTATTTATTTATTTTTAAATGCTGCTTAAGAGTTAGGGGTTTATGGATAATAACCGTACAGTTTCAATGTTACTAACTTTTAGCTTTCGCTCGGATATTTTTCAGAAATTTTGCAACCTCTATATCAAGTTTCAATAGTAGGTAGTGAAAGGTAGTAATCAAAATTTCCTGAACATGATATTGACCCGGATTTGGATAGTTGATGGGAAATTGATAAGTGGGCTTCGAATTCATGAGATGACTCGGAGCCTGATTCAATATGGGGCTGCTGTAATTGCCCAGATGGCATTTGGATCGAAACTTGGAGGCGGGCCATGAAAATGATGTTAAGTCCTTGTTTGATTTTTATTTTTTGATAAGTGATTTTTAGAGAATGCTCGACTAAAATGTAGGAAAAGAATGCGTGAAATTATTTTGTGGAATGAACAAAATAAATTTGAAGAAAAGTGAATTGGAATCAGGCCTTGTAGAATTTTAGGATCAACAGTGAAAAGAACATAAAATGAACGTGGACATGCTACATAACATTCGCATAGTTCCGTGCAAGGTGAAAGTGCAACAAATATCAATTCATAGATAGAGAAAATGTAAAAAAAGTCTCAATTTAAAAAATATGTAAATAAGTTGTACTTTCTCCTACTTATACTTTAGTTCTAAAATTTTATGGAAGGCCTTAGTTATAAAAAAAATAATTCTTTATTTATTTTCCTTTCTTTATGAACTTTTTTTTTTAACAATTTGCTGTTAAAACAAATATCACATTGAAATAATCCATCCTCATTTTACTCGAGAATATGCTCGAATAGGAATCTATTAATCACATGTGCGAAGTTGTTAAAAATATGAGTTAAGTTGCTCTAATTTTGTTAGTCTGGTTCGGGTGGTCAGAAATTTCGAGGTGGAGATAATAGAGTGCACCGTCCCAACATCTTCCGTTGCCCCCGCAACGTATTTCAAATATGTTATTTTGTCCATACTTTTTTCAAGAATTTCAAAAAGGTCATTACAATTTTCAAATTTTGTCCCCACAATTAAAATTTTATGAATTTGCTCTACGGTTATTTTCTTCTAGCTTCATCCTTGGCTCACTCCATGGGTTCTTCTTCCATACTATTTCTCCATTGTTTGAAGTTCCCGTTCGGAAAATTTCAGCCATAGGCTAACATTTTTTGCTACTACTTCCATAGTCCCCTACAAATGGGTCGATTTTAGTCAGTTTTCTTATGATTTGTTGTTCAAGACTATGCCCTTGTTTTTGTATTAATTTCAATTAGATTTTAATCTAAATCAATATTAATCACATCATTTTATGAATTTCACAATTTTTCAATCATACATTTTAGTTTTTTTTTTTTTTATCAAAATCTATTAAAAACTAAGAGCTTGTTTGGGAGTGATTTTTTTCTCCAAAAAATTGATTTTTTGACTGATTTTTCACTATTCAAATCGTTATATTTGACTTCTTCTCTTACAGGTGGATCCTCCTTTTCTCCTAACGATAAAAAAAATTAATTTTCTAAATCACTCTCAAACAGGCTCTAATTTTAATCTCGCCAAGCAAGGGTATTTGATTAATAAATTGTGGTCTCTCTCTCCTAAAATAAAAAAAAAAAAAAAAAAAAACTGATTTTAGTTAGTTTTCTTATGATTTGTTGTTCAAGACTATGCCCTTGTTTTTGTATTAATTTCAATTAGATTTTAATCTAAATCAATATTAATCACATCATTTTATGGATTTCACAATTTTTCAATCATACATTTTAGTTTTTTTTTATTTTTATTATTTTTTTTTATCAAAATCTATTAAAAACTAAGAACTTGTTTGAGAGTGATTTTTTCCTCCAAACAATTGATTTTTTGACTGATATTTCACTATTCAAATCGTTATATTTGACTTCTTCTCTTACAGGTGGGCCCTCCTTTTCTCCTAACGATAAAAAAAATCAATTTTCTAAATCACTCTCAAACAGTCTAATTTTAATCTCGCCAAGCAGGGGTATTTGATTAATAAATTGTGGTCTCTCTCTCCTAAAATTAAAAAAAAAAAAAAAAAAAAAACAAAGAATTTTGCTTCCATTTACGGGAATACAAATGATTCTCATGACAGGGAAGTGCCGGATGAGGTGTACAAAAGTTTGGATGCGGTTGGAGAGGGTGAAAATTGGTGGGAGGTATAATTTCTTATTTCCTATTCCTTTCTCGATTTAGCCTTATAGTTGATTGCTCTTCCAATTAAATATCGACGATGCAACTCGTGTTTCTGTTGCGTTTCTACAGGCTGTTGAGCTGCAAAAACTGATCCTAGCTCATAATGATATTGAGGCGGTGAAGGAAGACCTTAGAAACTTGCATTTGTTAACTGTGTTAAACGTTAGCCATAATAAGCTTACACATCTTCCAGCAGCTATTGGAGAGTATGTTATTTGGACTCTTTAACTATGAGAATTTTCTATCCGTATTTTCTTTTGCTGGAACTGATACCCGAAGACTGTCGATGAGTTGTACAAAAGTTTGGATGCGGTTGGAGAGGGTGAAAATTGGTGGGAGGTATAATTTCTTATTTCCTATTCCTTTCTCGATTTAGCCTTATAGTTGATTGCTCTTCCAATTAAATATCGACGATGCAACTCATGTGTTTCTGTTGCGTTTCTACAGGCTGTTGAGCTGCAAAAACTGATCCTAGCTCATAATGATATTGAGGCGGTGAAGGAAGACCTTAGAAACTTGCATTTGTTAACTGTGTTAAACGTTAGCCATAATAAGCTTTCACATCTTCCAGCAGCTATTGGAGAGTATGTTATTTGGACTCTTTAACTATGAGAATTTTCTATCCGTATTTTCTTTTGCTGGAACTGATACCCGAAGACTGTTTTATTTTTCATTTGGCAGGCTTCACATGCTCAAATCATTAGATGTGTCGTTTAATTCAATCATGGAAATCCCTGAAGAAATCGGATCGACAGTTTCTCTGGTCAAGTATGTGCATTCCATAAATTCTATATTATTTTTTGTGAGGCATTTCGACAAAAAATAGAAAATGCACCTTCTTGTCACCTTAAATGATCATAATTATATTAGCATTGCAGAATGGTTTTTTATCACATATAATGCATTATATTTTCCTGCTCTGCAGAAGGTTCTCATTTGTGTTTGTCTCACTACAGGTTTGATTGTTCAAATAACCGCCTAAGCTATCTTCCCGCGTCTCTTGGAAAATGCAGGGAGTTATCAGAACTTAAGGTAATATTTTATAAGTATATTTGTTACTTCTATTAATTTGAATTGTGTTTTATAATTTCACTCTGCTGGCTTATGCTTTTTGATGGTTAAATATTTTCCAGTTATAATAGTTTTGTCCTGCTTTTGTCTAATCATGTATCCTTGAATTATGTGCGCATTGTTATAACAAAATACTTTTCTGTGCTATAATCACAATTTACTTGTCCAGAAGTTGAAATAATGAGATATTTTGTTCTATGACATTAGTGGCCAGAATTTGCCTTGAGAATTTTTATTTATTTAATTTTTTGTGTGTGTTTGATAGAGTTAATGTATCTGCGCTTGCATGAATCAAACTCATTTGAGTATCTTTCTGCATGCCCTTAGGATACAGGCATTTGGTTGTCCGACTTTGGAAAAATGTCCAGCTAATTTGAAATCCGCATTCGCTTTTGAAGTAATAAACTTGTATTTGTCTGGTACTAGGATTATAATTTCTTTAGTAATAATTTTGACAAGAATTAAAAACAAAAAAAGCTACAAAAATGGACTATTTTACTAATAACTTCATATATGATTTGTTAAAAGGTTCACATTGAAGGCCCTACCCCAGTTTATATATATTGTAGATGCCTCATCTTCAAAAATATCAACAGCCAGAACGACAATAATGAAAGTTATGAGTCTATGTTAAGGATAATATAACAGTAGCTTGATCCAGTTCAAGAGAGCAAGCTGTTCAATTGTAGTCAAAAGTTAGAGCGTACCTAATATAGACACACATTATTGGGATTTACTATATAGTTTGCCCTTAATGAATGATATCTGAACGTAGTACAGTTGAATAGGCGTGTGTTGTCAGCATTTCTTTCCTTCATGTCATCCTTTATACATCAAAGAAGTTATATTCTTTTCTTTGGGTGCCACGTATTTAAACTTCTCTGTGCTTTCCATCAATGGTTTTTGGTGATCTTCTCAGGCATCAAACAATGGCATTTCCAGCTTGCCAGAAGATCTAGGAAACTGTTCTAAATTTTTAAAGTTGGATGTAGAGGTATTATAAGCTTTATTTATTAGCACCTGACGAATTTGTAATCTCCCCCACCCTCCTTTTATCTCTCACCATTCCATATTTTGGCTTTAAAGTATGTTGTGCTTCTTTTTGGCTAGGGAAACAAGCTAACATTGCTACCCGATAGTTTCATTGCATCATGCACTGTGCTTACAGAACTCAATGCATGTAAAAACATGTTTCCTTTTAATCTGTTATTGAGTTTTGGACAGCTCGTTCCATTTCTAGAGAGTTGCTTATTTAACCATTTTACAGCCAAGAACTTGCTAAGCAGCATTCCGGACAGTATTGGATGCCTTTCACGTTTGATACGTCTCGACCTTCACCAAAACAGTGAGTGGAGCAAGTTTTCTGTTGGACTATGCTGGATGGTTTTATGCATGTTAATGTTAGAAATATGTGGTGCTCAGTACTCTTGTTGTCTCTCTGTAATTAATAACACGTCTGCCTCATTTGATTTGCTATTTGCATATATACTGCAGGAATTTCATCAATCCCATCATCAATAAGGGGTTGCTCATCCCTTCTGGAGTTTTATATAGGGTACATCTCTTTCTTTGCCACAATTCTTAGTTTCTTATTTGTTATCTTGGACTATTCCACATTTACACTTCTGATATTTGCCTTCTCGTTTCTTGGTTTTTGGGCCAATTTAGAAATAATATGCTGTCATCATTACCAGCGGACATTGAATCACTAATGCAGTTGGGAACATTTGATCTTCACTCAAACCAGGTGGCTCATTTAACATCATGTCTGAAGTTGCTACAACTTCCCTATGATTAAATTGTTCTAATACTTCAAGAAGAGGATAGTCTTTCTGGCATCTGTAAAGTTTTATTTTTGACTCATTTTCTGATATGCTCTTTATTAATTGATCTTTTACTGTTCGATTTTTATTTTTATTTTTTCACTGTACATGCAGTTGAAGGAGTATCCAGTGGAGGCATGCAATTTGCGTCTTTCAGTTCTGGACCTTTCTAATAATTCATTATCTAGTTTGCCTCCTCAGATTGGTAAGGTTAACATCTTATTTCTTAATAAGTAGTGTTGGCGTTAGTTAAATGCACTTCATGATGAGCATGAAAAGAAGTTTATTTGTAGAAATTCTCTATTAAGTTGTAGAATTGAGTTACATAACTTTCTAAAGTATCCTGGTCTGATTGTCCAATAAAGGTAGTCATTCACAATAATTTGACAGCTTCTATGTTTATCGTTGCTTGAGGAAATTTTTAATTATTTAAAAAAAGATCATAGTTCTATAGAAACAACTAGTACTGCCTTCTGTATCAGTCTTTTGATTTAGAGAAGGTTCAATATGTTTGGTTCAAGTATATTGTAGTTTCATCAGTATGTAACAATTCTTATATTAAAACCATGTATTGTATTCATTCGTTCCGCTATGTTGACATTGTACAATGTATAGATAAGTTAATGTGGGAAACGTCATTATGCAGGCTTGATGACCACACTGCGGAAACTTTTACTTGTTGGCAATCCGTTGCGGACACTGCGAAGGTTTGAATCATTGTCTTGTTTGTCTGCTTCAGCAATGCTTCCTGTTTGTTGAGGATTGATTAAATGATTTGTCCTTACTCAGCTCCTTGGTATCCGGACCTACACCTGCTATATTAAAGTACCTTCGAAGTAGACTTCCAACTGATGAAGGTATGTTAGTTCTTAGTATTTCCTGAGGCAGCAGTTGGTGATTTAAAGGTATCAAGAAGTTGTGACTCTTGGCTTAGTTTTCGCAACTCAAAATTGCTACTTACAGCTTTCTAGATTTTCAAGTTAACCTGCTTCAAGTCGATATTCTTAATTTTGTTTCAGCATGTACATATATGATTTTTATGTGTAGAATCTGCTGCAACCATAGCTGTGAAAGAGGATGTTGTTGCCATGGCAGCTCGTTTATCCCTTACTTCAAAGGTAATTTCCCTCGCTAACGGATTTTTTGCATCCATCTCATTCTTCTGAATTGAAATTAAGTTTACTTCAGCAGACGTTGAAGACTTGAGTTCATTAATACATAGGCTATGTGTCTTCAACGAAGCGTGCATTGTAATGACAAAGTTCATAAATGAAGGCATCCTTATCTCTGTAGTCGATTCTTATTTCTGCTTAAGGTTTTGTCATATATCTGCGTAGCGTCTTCGTTGTTGGTGCCTTTCAGGAACTTTCTTTAGCCAAGCTAGGTCTGGGTGCTGTCCCATCAGACGTATGGAAGTCAAGTGACATCACAAGAGTCAATCTTTCAGAAAATTCTATTGAAGAGCTACCGAATGAACTTAGCTCTTGTGTCTCCCTTGAGGTAAACATCTTCTAGATTGCCACCTCTCTGTTAAACTAAAAATGTTGGTTAGGATTAAAGAAATGAGAAGGAGATGGAAACTAAAACTCTGAAAGGCATCTGCGTCATCTATCTAGTCTATGGTAACGACTAATATACTCTGTACAGTTTTGATGTTAATATGTGTTGATCCTTGAAAGTCATAACATGCATACATATTTATTTGAGATATTGACCTTTCTGGTGGCCCACTTTAATGCGTTGGTGAATCCAATTGTTGTCTTTCATCAAATAAATCTATCCTTTTTATTGTTCCTTTGCCAAATCTATTTGCTTAATATAGCCAGCAATGTGGTAATTTTTATATCATTTTTGTAATCTAACCTTTTTATCTTGTCAGGGTCGAATTGATTTCATTTGGAGAGAATGTGCAACTTTAAATGCCAACTATAATATGGCTTGTGAAGTCACTTAATTTAACTCTTGTATTAGAACAGTATATTTCTTTTCTCAATCAATAGAAATGTGGATAGGATTCTTTGTTACATTTCATAAGTGTTTATGAAGTAAGCCTTGTGCATTAATTTTTGTAAAGCCTTTCATTGAACACATTCAATCTGCAGGCTTTAATTTTATCCAAGAACAAGATAAAAGAGTGGCCTGGTACAATTTTGATGTCTCTTTCCAAGCTTTCGTGCTTAAAGCTGGATGGAAATCCACTGAGAAAGGTGAATATGATTTGATACTAG